CTGCCCGCCTCCGGGGTGGGTAGGTTCAACGCTGCTCGGAGCTGCCCGCCTCCGGGGTGGGTAAATCAGGCCGCGCGAGGCACGAAATTGGGCGACCTGGCGCTGGAGCCAGCTGGGGGCCTGAGGTAGCCCAGCACTGTCTCTGGCTGAGGAGGAGGAGGAGGACCAGTGTAAAACCAAGAGTCATCAACGATGTTGGAATTAACCCTCCCTCCAAGCTCCCTTTTCTTAGGCCCCCACAGCGGTTCATGTCCATTGAGGGAACTGCATCGTTGGAAGACAACCATTTGAAGATCCTGAAGCATGCCGAAACATTGTTCGTGGACTTCAACGCCACGTATCAACCTGGTTGCTGCGTCTCGACGATCTGGAGTCGTGCCCGAGCGCCATTTTTGGGACTTCAACACCGCGAACCAACATAATTGTTGCACCCGCATTATCCTGACTCCTTCCAACACTTTATTTCTGGTACGTTGGTCATGGGAATCCGTGAAACTCTTGCAAATGTTGAAACGAATGTAGGCGGCGCTAAGGCGAGAGCCACCTTTTGAAAAGGAACCGCCTTCAATCCGTGAAACTCTTACAACTGTTGAAAACGAATGTGCGCGACGCTAAGGCGAGAGCCACATTTTGAAAACCACCCGCCCTCAATCCGTGAAACTGTTGCACATATTTTGAACGAATGCGCGCGGCGCTAAGGCGAGAGCCACATTTTGAAACCACCCGCCTTCAATCCGTGAAGCTCTTGCAGATGTCGAAAAAACGAGTATGCGCGGCGCTAAGGCGAGAGCCACATTTTGAAAACCACCCGCCCTCAATCCGCGAATCTCTTGCAATTTTTTAAAAGCGAATGTGCGCGGCGCTAAGGCGAGAGCCACATGTTGAAAGCCACCCGCCCTCCATCTGTGAAAGTGCTGTACATGGTGGCGAAGTCGTACATGGTGAGGAAGTCGCAGGCGAAACGCCCGGCCCGGCCTAAAAACTGGCCCCGGGGTGCGACAAGGAGGAGTTATCTATAAGGAGAAAGAATGGAGGAGGAGGAGGAGGAGGAGGAGGAGGAGGAGGAGGACGACGACGACGACGATGAGGAGGAGGAGGAGGAGGAGGAGGAGGAGGAGGCGGAGGAGGCGGAGGAAGAGGAGGAGGGGAGGGGAAGGGATGGGGAGGAGGAGGAGGATGCAGGAAGAGGAGGAGGAGGAGGAGGAGGATCCTTCGTTCGGTCCTTCGTGGTCGTCCGTCCTCGCCTCCCTCCGGGCAGGTTCGAGGTTCTAAGTTTTAGGTTTGGGGGGGGGATTGGTTTCTGCCTCCAGGGGCCGTTTTCGGGCCTCGGAACCGTCCAAAACAGAGCTGGGGTGATAAATTGGTCCAGGTGGACCCCAGGACGGGTCCAGGGATTGGTTTTGAAACGAGTTGGCCTCATCCCCCGTTCCTCCTCCTCCTCCTCCTCCTCTTCCTCCTCCTCCTCCTCCTCCTCCTCCTCAGCCGTTCTGGCCCAGGAGATTCTGGGCTTGCAGCAGCAGTCTTCAGAGCGGCAGTGGTTGTTGCGTGCCTTTTGTGGCTACTGTCTTTTCGCGCCTCTGAGGAGGCAAGAGTTTCGCCCAGCTGGGCAATCCATGACCAATGGCGGAGGTGGCGGTGGAAACGGTTTGGCGGGCCCCCGCACACCCACATTGGCTTGCTGCCACTGTGGGGGGGGGGAATACGAACTGGGCCTCGAAGGTTGTGTGCAAGTGTGGGGAGCGCGCACCGCCTGATGTGGCTCGCCGTGCTCGCGAGCGCGCTGCTGCTGCTGAGCGGGATCGCTTCCCTCGTGACAAGCGTGGTCAGGGCGGACGGGATCCACTTCAGCAGAAGCTCGATGCGCTGAAGAAGAAGTTCGACGCCTTGGTGGTTAGGGGCGATGGGAGCAGCTCTCCTACGCCCGCTACGGCTATTGCTGGCGACAGTAAGGAGACCACGGAGTCCGACAAACTCGAGGAACATATCAAGCAGTTGGAGACGTCGCTGGCGTCACGCAAAATACTTCCTGGAGACAGTGGAAAAGAAACATGTGAGTCGCTGGAGAAGCAGCTGTCCGAGGCCAAGCGGTCGCTGGCGGCAACCAAACCAGAGCTCACAAAGCATACGAATGTTGGTCATCGGCCTGCCCTGGCAACGACGCGGAGGAGCAAGCTGGAGCAGAACGTGTCCGAACAGTTGGAGATCCTACGAGCGAATGAGGAACATTTCGATACATTGCGTGCCCAGATCAAAGCAGTTGACGAGGCGATTGCGCTTCTCAACCGCGAGCTGGTCACCACTCTTCCTATGGCGCTTAAGGTCGCGCTCGAGGTTGACCCCAATGTCCTGGCGCAGCACCCGCAGGCGGAGTCGCTGAGGGCTTTCATGGAGTCCGAGACGTTTAAGTGTTTCACCGAGGTCCTTGGGGAGAGCGTCGAGGCCAGGGAGGTCCCGAAGCCAGAGCCCGCGCCCTCGCCCTTTGCGCCGCCTCCTGGCGAAGGCGATGGCGCGCGTCGCGGCGGTCCTACTGATGCTGGCAGGGCTGGCCCAGTCATTTCGGCGGCGAGAGTGCCCGAGCCCCGTCAGACATGGAGCTCGGCGAGGTTGACGACACCACCATCGATCCTATTATTGCCGCAGCAAAGGAGGATGGGTTTGACAAGACCACTTTCACTGAGCGTCTTGGCAGCACGTTGCGACGCGTCAAGCAGCGAGTTTAGCCAGCGTGTGCCTCTTTGCTGCGGCCTTGCTTTCTAAATTCGGAGTTCCTGCCCCACTTCCGCCCCCCCCCCCGCTCTCGAATCCGCTGCCCTCAGAGCTTGTTGGCCAGGGCAGCTGCGTCGAAACGCACAATGGTATTAGCTGGCCCACACTGCAAGAGCGACTGCGGATGTCTTCGGCGAGCATCCTCTTGGCGCAGGAGGTGGGCTTCCCCCAGGACAGAGGTGGGGAAAAAAAGCTAGTTCGGCGGGGGTTCCGGGGTGGAGAATGCTCTCCTCCCCTTCCCTCCCTGGTGAGTCTGGCCGTGCCAGAGCGGGTGTGGCCGCGCTTGTCCGCCCCCGCCTCGGCCTTAGATGGCCGGCGGATCGTGCGGGTATCATTTGCCCTGGGAGATTGGTGCGCGCTGTTGTTGATTTACCAGGCTTGCCCCCTCTGCAGGTCTTGCGCGGGTACTTCAAGGGCGGCACTGGCACGCGTCGGCTCAATATCAAGTTGCTTGGGCCCATGGGGGAGAGGCTTGACGGAGAACGCGCGCTTCTTGCCGGTTGCAATTGGAACCTCGACCCTAGTTTGGTCGACGCCTCTGGAGTGCGCAGACGCACGGGTGGGGCCCTGTTTGTTTCTGGTCAGAGGATTCGCCTCTCCCCCAACAGCCCTGCTACGATGGACTATTTCCTGGCGGGCTCGGGCCTTGCTCAGGCTGGAGGTTTCCAGGCGGTCATGGATTGGACCCATCGCTCCCGCCGACCTGTTGTCGTTGATATTAGACCCGATGCAGAGCGGGCTGTGGCAGAGGCGGCGGCCGAGGCAGCTCTCGCGGCGCCAGTCGGCCAGGTGCGGGCGCACTTCTCGGCGGCGAGGTAGCACTTTGCAAACACTTTCGAGCTCGAGCTCGAGAGCTTCACCGGAGAGTCCGTGCATTCTAAATGTTTTCGGGGCGACTATCTCAAACGTAGCTGGGTCCCGATTCTTGCTGAACCTCGTGCCCTGGGAACTCTCTCCGGGGCGCGGGGATGGATTTGGTTTTCCCAGAACCTCAGCGAAACGATCAGGGCCTCTGCGAGGCTCCAAAAAGCGATGGGCCAGGCGGCCGAGGATCCTGATGGGCTGGTTGAGGCCACTGCCCTTCCTAGCAGATGCAACAGGATGTGCATCTCCAGATTCAGCAGCTGGTTGGACTTCCATGCCCGGGCGAAGGTCTCAACATTCGCCTGGGCGCCACTATCCGGCAAGCTCGCGGGTTGGCAGGCAGGTTCCCCTCGTCGGGCTCGCTGAGTAGCCAGTGCGACGAGTGCCCGGAGTCTCTGAGTTCGTGGGAGGACGAGATCCTCACGGCCAAGAAGGCCATTGACACGCAACAGCAGGATAGTTGGGATCAATGGCAGGGCAGGAGCAAGCTTTGGATAGGGGGGGGGGGGGGGCTAGGGCCGTGCATAGGCTGACCAGATTTATAACGACATGGAACCCCGCGGTCGTTCAGACCCATCCCGGCGTTTGCTCGAGCACCCCCCCCCCGCGGCGGCTTCTCCAACGTGATGAATAGGAGCTGGCCAAGTTTTGGCACGCGTCTCATGTGCCCCCCGAGGCTTGCTTGCGTGCCCGACCGAGCCTGCCTGCCTCGGCCGTCGGCTGCCGAGATCAGGGGCGCTTCGGGAGTTTTAGTCGCAGCGCGTCCCAGTCCCGACGGTTTCCACCCGAAGCAGTTCAGTCTCGGGTCGGACGAGACCCTCGAAACATTTGCCGCCATTGCGCAAACGATTGGGTCCCTGGGCCTTTTTCCTAAACAGATGTTCTGGCTTCTTTCCCCTTCCTTGGAAAAACCGATAGGGGGCCTTCGGCCCACTCTGCTGCGCGCGGGGCCCGTCCGAGTTTGGGGCGATTGAGGAGGCCCGCCAGTATTGAGTTCAACGATAGGTATCCTCGGAAGTACGGGCCTTTGGGCCAGGTAGGAGTGCTGAGGATGCAGTCTGTCATCGAACTGTGCGGGCTGAGGCTGCCCATCATGAGGATTGGATGAATGGGGGGAATCATATGGGGCGGGGCGAAGTACTACGAGTCCTTCGATCTCGATTTGCTCCGCCAGCGCGCTCTCGCCCATGGTAGAGGTGGTGCGATAGCTCAGACGACGCGTATTTTTTGGCGCGGCCCCCGTCTCCTCAGCCTTGGTGCCCAGTATGTTGTCGCGCCTTATTTCGCTTCCTCTGGTCTGCCCGCTGGGGACATGTTCAATGATATATTCGTGCGTGTTTATAGTATCGAAGCTTCCGACAGGTTTGTATCGGACCATGGGGGCGCGCGGTTGCCGTCTTATGTCGACGGCGACAGCGTGGCGACGGACGGGACGGAGTCGGAAGTAGTGAACAGCATAACGAAAGCAACATATCCTGGTAAGGCATGCACTTTTGGCAGTTCCGTGTCGCTGGCCAAGACCATCGCGCGCCACCTGGGTGCCGTGGCGGGCCAAGTATTTAACGGCGTGGTCTCCCTCGGCACCGACCTGGCTCCTGCCCAGAGGAAGTCTGCGACCCATGCTCTATGGAAGCGCAAGACACGCTGTCGTGACATGCGTCGTCGGCGTCGAGCGTTCCAGCGCTATCGTCGTGCCCTCCCTCGGCAGAAAGGCCGCGTGGGAAACGCATGCGTTGCTGGAGTGTTACCGGCGGCTAGTTTCGGTTCGGGGGTCGTTGGATTGATTGAGTGGCCAGGAACTCCTCCAAGCCCGTCGGGTTCTTCTCGCCCCCCCGACATAACGGGTGCCCCTACAGGTCAAACTCGCTATCGTTGGGGGCTCTATGTGGCGAGGAGCTGCGCCCCTTGTGCTTGACTGGGCGGGGGTTGTCTGGGTGGCGCCCCCGTGCCCGCCCTAGGGTTTCTATGTATGCTGTGAAGGAGCTGCGCGCCATATGGCGCACCATCCCGTTCGATGATCAGGCCGCCTGGCGCAACTCCAGGGGCCCTATTCAGCGCATGCACATCGGCCTCCATAGGCTGGGATGGGTTTCCACGTCGGCGCTGATTTTCCGCGATGACAGGGGCAAGGGGATCCATGTGGGGTATTATTCTCCCTTCACGTTTTCCCATTCGCTAGGCCGGGCCACCCGGCGGGCCCACGAGCGGGCCTCAGCGGCGAGCGCTCCTGGGTTCGATGTGGCCCGCGTTTGCGCGGACCCCTTCAAGAAGGCCTTCGGGTCCCAAGCGGAAGGCCTCAGCCCGCGAGGAGGGCACTTTGCTCTCATTTGTTTTTGCAGAGGCGCGTGGACACGCAACCGAACCCGCTCGCGCGGGCATCAGGCGAATGTGTCGTGCCCTCTTTGTAGGCAACCAGATGGCGCGTGCCATCGGCTTCGGCACCGCGCGCGCCCTGCTGCCGCCCAAGCTCGAGCTGACGCTCTGGAGGGGGGGGGCCTGTGGAGTGGCACGCCGAGGCCCTTGAGCGCGACGACAGGTTGTTCTTCGATGAGATGAAATGGGACCATCCCGAACCCACCCTCCCCTTCCCCAGCCACGGATCCTAACCCAACGCTGTATGATGCCTCTGGTGTTGCCGTGCCTTGGGATTCCATCGATCTGCGGGGGCTTGGTGTTTGCGTTGACGGTTCCGCGGTGCGCCATGCTATCTGCGACTTGCCCGGGCCTCCTACTCTTGGATGTTCTTGGGACCTGGCATTGGTGAGGTGGTTTCCATCGCTCGAGGCGCGCTACTCGACGCCTTGCCGCAAACGTCTCAGGCCGCGGAGCATCAGGCCATGATCCCCATGTTTCAGAAGTTCGGGGGGAAGCAGGTACGGGGACAGCATGACGGTTATCAAGCTCTGTCGCGCAGACACTGCGCACCAAGTTTCAAGCGAGCATCGTTATGTTGGGCTTCGGCGTGGATCGCTGATGCACGAGGCGATGGGTCATACTGCTCCAGTCATCCACACACTTGCCCACCGTGAACGGACTGTCACCGGTGCTCTACCCGACGAGGAACGACGCATCGCACAGGGGAGTTGGCATGCAGATGCCCAGGCCAGGCAAGCTCTTCTCTCCCACCCCCGGCCTTCCCCGCTCGAAACGGAGGAGGTGGACAGGATATGTAAAATGCTCCGTGCCATTACACGTGTTTGTGGTAAGGTTTTGTCTGGTTTCTTTTGGGATAAGTTCGAGCGTTCGAGTGTGGGGCCCAGGGCCAAATTTTTTGATAAAAGATCAGGGGGCTGACATGCGTGGCAGGAAATCGAGCAAGGAAGGGCTCGTTGCCTGCATTGTCGAGCTCTTTGGAAAGACCCAACTTCCAGACCCATGCTCGGTTGTAAAGGTATGAGCAGCACGTGGCGTAAATCCCTAGACATTTCTCTCGGGCACACTCTGGCCCACTGCAGCGTGCTCAAAGGTGATGTTGAGAAGATGTTGTTCTTGTGCACGGTTTGCGGAATCTACACTTCGAATCGTTGTCACAAGCTAGGTCAGGAGTGCAGCCAGCGGCGTTTGGCTGGAGTTCCGACAACGTTGCGTCGAATATGCGATGGTCTGTATCCACATTACCGTGATATTGATAGGCTCACGAGCAGCTCACGCAGAGGAGCTGAGTACTTGTGCTTCGCAGCCAGGCTGCCCCCGCCACGAGAGGTCGGAGCCTCCATGGCGACGCCAGCTGGTCTCGTCTCGACCCCAGGCATGCTTGCGCTGGTGGCGCGCATTCAGGCACGCGAGGCCAACGCGGGCCTTCCTTTCTGCGCCAGTCCAGGGGGTGGTCGCAGCTGCGAGCTTAGCCGCCCCCGCACACGGCCCTGACCT